AGGACTGGAAAAAAGAAGGTAAAGGGATTAGCCAAAAAACACATATACATAACACACAGACACAGACAACAGTGTGGTGATAGCCAGAGGGAAGGGGGGCGGGTAGGTGGAAGTGGGCAAAGGGAGGTGGAATGGGGATAAAAAGAGACTTTCCTTGGGGTGATGGGTACATGATGCAGTGTGCAGATGATGTTTTATTGAGTTGTACACTTGAAACCTGTATGCTTTTGCAAACCAATGTCACCTCAATAAAATCAATTGAAAAAAATATTTCTAGAACCTAAAAAGACATACCTTTTCTGGGTAAATTTGTTTATCTTTGCAATATTATTTGGGTTGATCTTGCAAACCTCATGTAGCTGATTCTAGAGTTGATATCTATAGATGTCACTACGTAGGATTTACAACCATCTGCCATTGTAATACATCACTTGCTCCAGAATCAAGTAACTTAAAATGCTATATATGCTGATGGGAAAATGCTAAGTGATATAGTAATTTCCTGTCTGATTAAGGTCAAGAATTAGGTATTTGGAAATCGGAAAGTGCTTATGATGAGATGAGATAGGAGATACAAATCTATCTACAATCACTAACAAACCTAAAACAGCTTTTTATTAAACAAAGGTGCCTCCAGGAAAGTCCATCTGACCACAGGTTCAGAGGGACTCAGGATATGGCTATCAGATCATCTTACAAGAAGAAAATTCAAAATATTTACCAAAAGTTTTTCCACAAGGTCTCTTGCCTTAGGAAAGAATTTTTCAGGAAAGTCATACTCCAACTTAATGATCTTCTGAAATATAAGATATTCGTTTCTGTAAAATAAGAGAAACCATCATTCCGGGTACGGTCACACAAATCTCCCAGAACAGAGCTATACCTTTCCTGGGACAGTGTCACCTTCTCTCCCCACAGAGCCACTTATTCACTAAAGAATCATTGTAAAAGTCTTCCCACCTTGGCTCAGGCCCCTCCCACTTCTCTGGCTGCTTCAATGGGCAGGTGTATGAGGGTGGGTGGTGGGTGGGTAGAAGGTGGAGGGTAGGAGGTTGGGGTGTCTCTTACCCTGCTCGGAATGGTGGGAGTCCTGCCACAAGTTGGTATATTATACATCCAAGAGCCCAAAGGTCTGAACTTTAAGGGAGGGGAAAAACAAAGAATGACATTTGTAAAATTTCCATTTCCTCTGCTCATATCACCCCACTTCAGCCTCCTATCTACTGCTCTTCTTTAAAACCAGGTCAGTGTGAGGGTGGGAACCTGGGCCCAGAGGATCATCCAGTGCCAGGGTTTAGTGGGGTGCTGCTGAGAGATTCTCTCATTAACTCACTCGGTGTTTACCCACAGGACACAGGTGCAAGCTCATATATACCACGGAACCAAATTAGACAATCTATAGGATTCTTTCCCTTCTTAGACTCCCAGTGCAAAACCCTGCCCGCCCGTCCTTTATAAACGTTTTAATTATATGTTTCAAAAGAAACACATTGCAGTTCTAAATTGCCCTAAGTCATTTCCAGAACCAGCTGGCAGGGACTCAGGAGGAGGGGCGGGCGGGCAGCACTGCTCTCCTCGCCCAGGATGCCACCCCCTTTCCCACCTGCTCTTGTCCATTCTCTGTCCCCTCAGTACCATGTCAGAGCTCATAGCTGACATCTACTTTGCATATTTGATTTCCTCTGTAGGTGTTGCATTCTATTCCCAGCTCAGCCCTACAAAATTAGCAAGATGCTTCTCACCCTGCACTGCCAGCTGCCTCTCCCCAACCCCAGGCCTAAATGTACATAGGACTCGGGGGTGACTGGATATGGTCAGTTTCTGGAAGCGGCCACAGCCCGGTATCTGGAAAATGAACTCAAAGGGCATGGGCGGGGGGACAACAGGCCAACTGCAGTGCCAGGGCCTTGGATGAGGGCTCTGTATCACCAGCATCACAGGCCCAGGGCAGATGAGGCTCTTGATGTGGGTTAGAAATGCAACAGGTAAGAAATCTGAGTCACAACATACAGATGGGAGTGAAGGACACTTAAAAAATGAATCTACATTCTACTCAGTAACTAGTTTTCACACTTGATTTTCTCTACTGTTTAGTTAAAATAGGAAGCTACACAAGAAAAACACCTATAGCCAAGCCAGTGTGACTCAGTGGTTGAGCATCAACCCATGAACCAGGAGGTCACGGTTTGATTCCTGGTCAGGGTACATGCCCAGGTTTCATGCCCGGTGGGGGGCGTGCAGGAGCCAATCAATGATTCTCTCTCATCACTGATGTTTCTCTCTCTCTCTCCTCCTTTCCTCTCTCTGAAATCAATAAAAACATAATTTTTTTTTTTTTTAAAAGAAACACACCTACAGCAAAACATGACCTTTATGTGTGGATGCAGCCAGAGAAGATGGGCAGGGTTGTGGGTGGGGCTGCCTCTGCCTCACAGGGTCATCCAGGGAGAAGTGACAGCAAAACCTGCTTTGGGGTAACTTTTTACCTCATGAATTATTTGAATGTTTTACCATCAGGGGTAGCTTATCATTTTTATTAATTTTTTTTAATTTTCGAGAGAGAGAGAGAACATCCACTTGTTGCTCTACTTTTTCACGCATTCATTGGTTGATTCTTGTATGTTCCCTGACTGGGAATCAAAGCTGGAACCTTGGCATATCAGGATGATGCTCTAACCAACTGAGCTACCTGGTCAGGGCTCTAAAATGTTTTTTAATATAATAAAAACTAAAGGGGGAGTCAGTATAACATTTCTGGAAACCAGTATGTACCACAGATTGATTATTTATTTATTTCCATTGACTTCTAGAAAGATTGGGAGGGAGGAGGTTTGGGAGAGAGAGAAACATCGATGTGAAAGACACACACTGATTGGCTGCCTCCCGCATGCCTCCCACCAGGGACCGGGAATTGAACCTGCAACCCTTCTGTCCTTGGGCCGACACTCTAACCCCTGAGCTGAACTGGCCAGGGCTGTACCAAAGATTTTAAAAATGTTCAGGTAGGCCCAAGTTGTTCTACTTCTTGAAATTCAACACAGGAACTTAGGGAAGCCTTGGGGCATCCCTCACACCGCCTGGCAGATACCTCATCTCTCTCACTGGACAAGCAGGAGTGCGCCTCTGCTCCACACACAGATTATGCAGCACACAGTAGGCACGCCAGATTGTGCAGAACAAACAACCACGTCAAAGTCCAATGATAAAGGGAGAGCCTGACGAACAGCAGTAAATTGTATGCTAGAAAATCACACAGCTGTTAAAGATGACTGCAAATAATTTTAGTGACATGGGGAAATGTTCATTATAAAATTCTAAAAATTATATAATGAACCATTATATATTTAATAATTAGATAATAACCATTATATATTTAACGGTTATTTAATAATGTCAAAACTGGTGTTCAGTATGACTCTAAGTTGTATGAAAGTTACATGAACATTACCTGAGACTATAAGTGGGCTGGAGACTGACTGTTTTTATTCTCCATATTTTCTAAGAATTCTTTCAAATAAATATGTGTCACTTTTAAAATCATTTAAAAAATCTGAACTATTTTTGAATACCAAGTTAAAAAATTTTAAAGCATAAAAAGATATATGTTGTAATACTTTCAGCAATAAAGATTAAAAAAAAAAGATACGCATTGATGTCTCCCTCATAGCCCTGTTCCCTCACATGATAGACAACCAGTGCTGCTATCCAGACTTGCATATCCTTCTAGAGTCGCAAATGCATGAACAGATCTGGGTAGACGTTCTCCTTCCCTTTTTCACACAGAGGGTGGTCATGCTGTGTCTTCCTTATCGCATTTAGTAGAGTTTGGAGACCTTTCCCCATCAATGCTAACAAGCTGCCTCATCCTACAAGGAAACCCAAAATTGAGGAAAAGCTAGCTTTTAGGCAGCAGTGACATACACTTCAAGAATGTGGCCAATAGCACCCACCACCCAGAGGAGGGTGTCTCAGCCTTGGCACTGTTTACACTGGGGGCCAATCATTCTTGCTGCGGGTACATCTCTGCACCACAGGATGCTGAGCAGCAGCCATGGCCTCCGTCCACTGGATGCCAAAAGCACTCTCCCCAACCCTCACCAAGTTGTGACAACAAAACTGTGTCTGCACACAGTCAAAAGTCCCCTGGGAAGAACTGCCCCACCTAGGAAGCCCTGACCTACAATAGCATCTGGCTTTTGGTAAGAGCTCAAAAGTAAAGAGCCTGGAGACCCGTATCTTTCAGAGCATCTTTCTATCCTTCATCATGTTTCTGCCCCGTGGCTCTACTCCTTACAGAGTTTTTTAAAAGCTGTCATGCTCACAAACACAGAACTGCTGTCCTCAGAACCACTCACCCCTCTGCAGGCTCTGGCACTGTCACTCTCATTCTAGGAAGGCAGCCCCTTATAGCCTGCCAACCCAAGTCACTGACCCTCTGTCAACTCAAGGGAGGGTGCCAGCAGACCATGTGTCTGGCTGGCCCTGGGCAGGAAGAATCCAAGGAAAAACTTTAACCACAGGATCTGTCACCACCTGGAACCACTCCCCAAACTCTGAAACCCCAGATTCTACTGTCACCTCTCAGTCTTCCACCTGCCTCATGCCTACCTGACAGCTCCCACGACTTCTACCCACTCCTGGCCATCAACGCTCCCACCTTCTCCTCCACTGCCTGACTGCTTGCTGACCCTTCTCCACTCTTCAGACTTCTGCTCTTGTGAGGAGAATCCCCAGCTCCAGTGTCCTCTACACCCCAATTTGCTCTGTACCCACCAAGGCCCTCAAGCCTGCAGCCACTGCCAGGCCTGTCCCAAGTCTGAGCACTGAACAGGGTTGGCTTGTGCTGGCTGGGTCCCCATCAGGAGACTGGCTCTGTCCCCTCCCACACACGCTGCCATCTGGGCCTCTTCTCACAGTCTGCAGAGTCCATAACACCAAACAGCTGACCAGCAGCTGCCAGCAATGCCAGTCTGCCAGAGTCAGAGGCAGCACCAAGGATCTCTGGGTTTTGAAACAAGCAAGACCTCATTAAATAATACAGACTTGTCTGCCACACTTCTCCCCACTGAATAGTTGTTCTAAGGAAACAAGATCCAATCTCAAAGTATAAAGCAACAACTGCTCCAGGAAGTATAAAGTGTAACAATAAAGTAGCACACTGGTTATTAAAGGAAAGGTACTAGTTAAAAGGCAAAATGCTAACTTCTTCTAAAGTAGGTTTAGCTATATAAAGGCCATAAAAGGCACTCTCTTAACTATTAATTTCACATGAAAAACTTTTAGCCACTTTAGAGAAAAGAGAATTATGAATCAGGAAAAAATAGATTAAAAAAACAACAAATCAATCAGGTTACCTTTTACAGGCCGATTTCTCTGTGAGCAGCTCTGGAGAAACATACTGGGCTGTGCCTACAAACGAGTTGGCCCTGGCTGATGAGAAGAGGAAAATGGTCATGGTGAGACACAAAGCACTTAAAATCGTGGATGTTAATCTATAAGGATGTCATGGTTAACATGAGCATAAACTGGAGCTCTTTGCCAGCACAGCACTGGTCACTTGGAATCGAACTGTACAATCCCAAGAGCCTTACTTGTCCACAGCCCACCCCCCACACCCCTTCTGAGACCCTCTCCTCCCAGGGCTGGCTCAAAGGTCACCTGATCAGTGACATTTGCCCTGACCAACAGGGCAGCTCGTCCTGAGCCCCTCCCTGCCTCATGTTCTCCTGGTGCCTCTCACCAACACCAGAGCAGCACTCACCCAGCATTCTGTCAGCTGGAGTGTCTCGAGGAGCCTGTGATGCCTAAAACAGCCCTGGACATGCAGCAAGCACACAATGAACATGCACAGAACCCAGGAAAGTACTGGATCCCCTGCAGGCTGCATGCAGGGCAGAAATACCTTCTCCTTGTAACAAACTGCTCAGGAAGGTCATGGGCTATAAAGGGAATGAAGTGACTCATGTGTCCTGGCTGGGGACCCTCTACTACATCCCACTGCCTCTAGTAGTGGACTATGTGACTCAAGGTTCACAAAGATCAATTGCAGACCTGGGTTGGGTGGCAAAAGGACCCTCTGGAACTGCCTATCACGAGAGAGAGGAGGCACTGACACCCATATCACCTCAGTGGCCCCTAAGGACCTTGGGGATCTCATCAATGGTCATGCATCCCTGACAGAAAACCATGGGCATGAGCTGCCTGCCCCACCACACTACTCCTGAGGCATCCTTCAAGGGGGATCCTCTAGCAGTGGAAACCACACAGCTGCTCTCGACCTTTCCTCATGACCCTCAGAGGATGAAGGATCAAGGATTTCAGTGTGAGAGCCACCCCCCATCTGAGAGCAAATCGGTTCCCTAAGGAGACTGGCTGCACATTCCACTCACAGCAACCTGCCTCCCATAACCTTCCAGGCTGGTACTGTGTAACCAGCACAGACATTTGTTGCTTACTTTCATGATTGAAGGAAATGTTTGATTTTACTGAAAGGTTAATGAAAATCAGTAATTTTCTCCTCTCCAGGCTCATGGCTGGCTGGCTTCTACCTGTGACACTAGGGTAAAAGCCCCAGAGAGAGCATTAGAAAACCATAGAGGTAACCTAGTCACCTCCCCCTGGAAGCTCAGAGATAAGCCAAAGGTCAAACTTCTCCAGCTACTGGAAAACCAGGCCCAGAACCCGCAGTTGGTAAACAAGGCCTCCTCAATGCCACTGACCCTCTCACCTGCAAGACACGTGGTTAGGGAAAGGAGAAGGGTATAGGCCTGGGTTGTTGTCTCTACCCTCAAAGTGGTTCAAAGAAAGTGATAAGCATCCTGCGCGATGGAATACTCTGGCCACCACAGACCTGTAAGTCAGACTCTGAGGTGCCAGTGGGGAAGGAAGTACCTGAAGTGTTTCTGAGGTCAGGGGACACCCATACTCTCTTCAAGCCAAAAGTGCAGACTGCTAGTGTCATACCCATAAACCCACACATGAAGCACGGCATACATTCACAAAATATAGTCACCTCTTGGACAGAAGACAAGAAAATGGAATATAGTCACCTCTTAGAAGACAAGAAAAAGGAATCTGGCCCTGGCTGGTGTGGCTCAGTTGGCCAAGCGTTGCCCCATGTGCTGAAAGGTTGCCAGTTCGATTCCTGGTCAGGGCACTTGCCCAGGTTTCAGGCTTGATCCCCTAGGGGGATCAATCCCCTAGGGAGCGTGCAAGAAGGAGCTGATCAATGTTTCCCTTTTGCATCGATGTCTCTCCCCCCCCTTACTCTCTCTCTAAAAATCAATTAAATATATATATAAAAGAAGTCTGCAAGTGACATTTATCCCAAGAATGCAAGGGTGATTAAACATATAGAAATTAATCAATGTAGTACATTGTATCATTAGAATAAAGGACAAAGCCACATGATCACCTCAATAGATGCAGAAAAAGTGTCTAACAAAAATTCAACATCCCTTCATGATAAAAATGCATAAAATAGGAACAGAAGGGAACCTCAACTTGATAAAGGCATCTATGAAAAAGCCAGTATTAACTTGTTACTCATAGTGCAAGATTGAAAGCTTTTCCTTTGCCCAGCTGGTATGGTTCAGTTGGTTGAGCGTTGAACTATACACCAAGAGGTCGCCAGTTCAATTCCTGGTCAAGGCACATGCCCGGGTTTCAGGTTCGATCTCCAGTGGGGACGTGTGCAGGAGGCAGCTGATCAATGTTTCTCTCTCATTGATGTTCCTATCTCTTCCTCTCTATTCCTCTCTCTAAAACCAGTAAAAACATATTTTTTTTAAAAAAAGCAAGCTTTTCCCCTAAGGTCAGGAACAAGACAAGGATGCTGCTCTTGCCATTTCTATTCAACATTGTAGTGCAGGTTCTACCAGGACAATTAGGCAAGAAAATGAAATAAAAGGAATCCAGATTAGAAAGGAAGAAGTAAACTACCTCTAATCACAGATGACATGATCTTGTATACAAACATCAACTGTATTTCTTTTTTTTATTTTAATCCTCACCCAAGGACATGCTTAGAAAGAGAGAAACGCGGATGTTGAGAAGAGAAACATCGGTTGCCTTTCATATGTGTCCCAACTGGGGACTGAACTTGCAACCCAGTTTGGTGCCCTGACCGGGAATCAAATCCGCAACCTTTCAGTGCACAGGATGTTCAACCAACTGAACCATTCCAGCCAGGCTCAACTGTATTTCTATACACTTGCAATGAACAATCTGAAAATGAAAGTAAAAAACCAATTCCATTTATAATAGCCTCAAAAATAAAATATTTAGGAATAAATTTAACAAAAGTGCAAAGCTTATACACTGAAAACTACACAAGGTTTTTGAAAGAAATTATGAAAGATCTAAGTAAATACAAAAACTTCCCATGTTGAAGGATCAGAAGACCTAATATTATTAAGATGGCAATACAGTCAGCCCCCTGAATTACGATGGTTTGACTTATGATATTTTAACTTCACAATGGCACAAAACCGTATTTTGAATTTTGATATTTTCCCAGACAAGCAATACGTGGGACAACGAGCAGTGAGCCATAGCTCTCAATCAGGCACGCAGTCACAAAGGTAAACAATCGATACTGTACTACAGTGTAGTGTGATGCCAGCATTTTTGGATATTGTGTTCTGAGCACATTTAAAGTTGGCTAGGTTAAGCTATAATGTTTGGTAGGTTAGGTATATTAAATGTATTTTCTACTTCCAATATTTACAACTTAAAATGGGTTTACTGCGATATAACCCCATCAAAACTTGAGGGGCACCTGCACTCCCCAAACTGATCTATACATTCAACACAATCACAACCTAAATCCCAGCTGGCTTTCACCAAGCACAGTGTTTTCAACGTCATCCAGATTGTAGCATGTATCAGAACTTCATTCCTTTTCACTGCTGAATAATATTCCATTTTATCGATAAACTTTATCCATTCATCAGTTGATGGACACTTGAGAGTTGTTTCCACTTTTTGGCTGTAAGGAATAAAGCTGCTATGAACATTTCTATACAGTTTTTTATGTGAACATGTTTTCAGTTCTCTTGGATGCATACCCAGATGTAGAACTGCTCAGTTATAAGGTAACTATGTTTAACCTTTGAGCAACTGCCAGACTGTTTTCCAAAGTGATTGCATCATTTGAAAATGCCCACCTGCAGAGTATGAGGGTTTCATTTCTCCACATCCTTCCTAATACTTATCTTTTTTATCATAGCCATACTAGTGGGTATGAAGTGGTACCTCACAGTGGTTTTGATTTGCATTTCTCTAATGACATTGAGCACCTTTTCACGAGTTTATTGGCCATTTGTTTATCTTTTCTGAAGAAATGTCTTGTGTTTTTTACTTAAAGGTATCATGGCACAAAAGTTTTTTAACTTGCCCTGCCAGGCGTGGCTCAGCAGTTGAGCATCGACCTAGGATCCAGGAGATTGCGGTTTGATTCCCAGTCAGGGCACATGCCCAGGTTGTGGGCTCCATCCCCAGTCGGGGGGGGGGTGCAGGAGGCAGCCGATCAATGACTCTCTCATCATTGATGTTTCAACTCTCTCTCTCCTTCTCCCTTCCTTTCTCTGAAATCAATATAGATAGATATATATACACACACACACACACACACATATATATATATATATACATATATATATATTTTAAAGTTTTTTAACTTGATGTGGTCTAATTTATCTATTTTTTTTCTTCTATTGCTTATACCTTTGGTATTGTATCTAAGAAACCATTTCCTCACCCAAGGTCATGAAGATTTACTCCTATGCTTTCTTCCAAGAGTGTTAATAGTTTAGATTCTAGATTCAGATCTCCGATCTACCCAAGTAAACATCTGAGTTAACTTTTGTGTATAGTATGAGGAAGGGGTAATAATGTTTTTGATAATTTGGTCATCACTGGAGGATGATGATGAACCAATTCATGGTTTTCAAAAGTGGCAAATAAAGGGGAAAAAGCAAGCATTTATCCTGTTTTTCCTCCACAATCAATACTACTAGTTAAGCAAATAATAACTATGGGGAAGTTTCTCTTTAAAGAATTCCATCTCATAAATGAAAGAATTAGACTATAATAATTCTGTATTCTCTACTGAATTAGTGGATCTAAGCCACTATAGCTTTAAAGAGCTGCTGGCATCACAGAGGGAGAGATGAATGGATGTCAAATGCTTCCTAATAAAGAAGGCACCACCACCAGACTTTGGTGTGAGAGGATTGAACCTGAATGATCCAAGTGGCCAGCTCCAACTGCCAATTTAAAGGATATACAGAGAGGAGAGGAGCATGTTACATGACTCCACAGAGATGCAATCAGGGAATTCTATAAGACAAATGACCTGGTTTCAACAGACTGCAAGGGAAAAAAATAAAGATGGGGGGGGGGTAGAGACACAGATTAAAAGAAATTAAGAGACAAATTAGCTAAACCAAATGTGAGACCTTTGACTGTCCACAGACGGGCAGTGCAGAGAAGGTGCAGCTGGACTGAGAGAATGATTTCGGCTCTGAAGCCTTCCCTCTCCATCCGTCCCCCACCCCCCACCGGCAGACCCATCCCTCCAGTTTGGTAAGTGAAGCCTCCACACCTGGCTGTGTACCAGAAAAGCCTACACAGCTCAGGATACAGGTTTCCAGACACAAACCCCAAATCTGAACCTCCGGGGCCCCCAAGCAACTCAAGCCTTTGCAAAGGGGGCAAAGACCAGGGACACAGCCATAGACAAGGGGTTTACTCCACATGATTAAGCTGTCCTCACCCAGATATGTCTGTGAGACCCTTGTGCAAGGTCAGAAGTCACAAGTCCTCTGAGCTAAAAAATGCTCATCTATCCCACATGCCCTCACAATAGCCCCTGTTGTCTCCCACCCCTGCCCATTACAGACATGGAGGCCACTCTGACCCAACAGAGAGCAGTGAGAGAGAGATGCAGGGCTCACCCCCTTCCAGGAGCAACCCACTGAGACAAAGGTCTGTGAAGATAGACAACCTGCCTCTTGCTAGGAGGAAGGAGAACACGCTTATTGAACAGCTAAAGAACTGAGCTCCCACCACTTTCCTTCTGGAAGCTCTAACATGCTTTTGGGAAACACTCTCTGCAAAAAAGTTCTTTTAAAAAGTTAATACAGAAATAAATTCTGAAGTACTTCAAACGGAAAATGAGAGTAATTCACTAAAATGAAACATTCACATAATTAAATATGTTTTTCCCTTTTCCTCTAGGAAGGGAAAAAAAAGTCAACTCATCTATATATACAAGCAATTCTCCCTCGTTTACAACATAAGGACTTTTAGCCTCCTGCTTTCAGAAAGAAAGAAAAAGCAAGTTTATTTCACCAATACATTTAAATTCTTGTATTTTTTCAATGGCTGCAGGGCAAGAAGACTAGCCTATGCCAAATATCAGATTCTGAAGGAAATCTACATGAAGGAATAGAGAACAGAGCAGATCCCGAGGTAGGCAGCTTCCAAGGCTGACTGAGGGGCCCCACGGCAGAAGTCACACATGAGGTGATGAACAGCCTAACAAGAACATTTGGGGACACAGCAATTCCTGTTGGGTTCACCTCTGTCATGAACAATGCTATGGTTATAAGTTATAAAGCATGTCCATAAAAACATGATTACTGGCCAATAAAATGTTACTATGCAACAGGCATAGGCCAAGTAGATCAAGGTTTTGGGGCATCTCCCAAGTGCCTGGCTTTGTGCATCTCCAGGTGGGAGGCCACCCATCCTCTGACAACTCTCTGTGGGAAGGAGGAAAAGGAGCTCCAAAAGCAGGCAAGTGAGGCCAGGACTAAGACTTGTTGAGAAATAAGAACATATTTTATGATTCCAAGTTGTGCTTCAGCCCCAAAAGGGTGGTGCTTTAGGATTCTCAGGTAAGTTCCCAAATCTAAGACACTGTTTTGGTGACTGAGTGTTTGTGCAGAGATTAAAAAGCACTAACTGAATCTTAACTGGAATCTTCACAAGAACCCTCTGTTTGAAAACATGGGGTTAGAAAAACACCCAGAAAGGAAAGATAAGGGACCCTACAGAAGGAAACCCATGCAGGCCCACCAAGGCTCACCAGGTGCCTCCCAGCAGCACAGGTTTTTGTCTCTGTCCACACTTGGCTGGGATGAGTGGACCCCAGGAGTCAGCCCAGGGGCTGCCCAACATGCTGTTAACCCAGCTGCAATTCAAGCCCAAAACAGAGGCGCCCAGCCCAGCTAAGCTAGAGGGTTTTCTGAAAAGCCAAGTCCTCCCCCACTGCTATGCAGTCCTCATAGTTTTCCTTTTCCACAAGAGCAGCTGTAGCGAAGTGGATGCTTTAGTTGGAATCTTTCCTCTGCCAACAAACCCTGTGCTCAGGCCAGCATATCTGTTAGCCCAAGGGCTTTTCATCAAGGTCCTCCTCTCATGACAGAGATATGTGTACTATATGGAGGTCCCTGAGACAGCTTGTTGGGTCAGGGTGGCTCTGACAGTCCCAACTGTCCCAAGACCTAAAGTTCATTTTCAAGGTCACTTATTAACTTGTACAGCTTCCCCCAAACCTTACCATAAAGGGCTTTATCTTCTCTCTGCACCAACACTTGACAACAATTTTCACAAGTAAAAATGTAATTCTTTACACTTCCAGAGTTTGATTTCCATCCAACAAACACCTGAAGAGCAGTGAGAGCCCCTGCCAAGGTGCCCTCTGGCTAAGACACCCAGAACACTCTTCTGGCCCAAGTTAGCAACTCCTCCTAGGATGACAGAACTGTCACAATATACAATCCAATACTAGGAATCACCCTAGGGGAACAGTGATTAGGGTGATTTGCAATAAGAAATATGTACTTGACCAGCAAGCAAAAATCAACCCATTCTGTGATTCTGTAGAACCTCACTAGAATGGGTGTGCCTGGGCCACCACTGGCAGCTGCACATAGGAGATGGGGACAAAGACAGAAAGCTGGCGGGCACAGGGATAGAGGGATAGTGCCCCCCCAACCCCCAGTTACAAACTGTAGTACCAACAGGAAGAGCTGAGAGCTGACCACATTGACCCCACACCCTTGCATGGGAGATCAGGAACAAATGTGGCACCCTAGCACCTTCTAAGACTAGAAAGGGTGAGCCACAGGGCACTCAAGGGTATTCAAACGGACCTGTGACAACAATATGCAGAGAGCACCTGGTGACCCAGCACCCCCACTCAAGGCAGGGCAGACCAACCACAGGCAGCCCAGGAAGCCCCTCCCTCCACCCACTAGACCAGCCACACAGCTTCTCCAGTGAAAACTCAAGCACCTATTTTATAGTAACAAAGATATTACAAACATCTGTCACTACATGAACCCAATGCAACTAACCACATTGCTAAGAGGCTGTTTATGAGCTAAACACTAAGCAGGACCAGCTGGAAATAAAGCACTCACACACCTTGTTTACTCTCTGGGGATAATACTTTTGCTGTTCCAAAATCTGTGATCTGGATGTGCATATCTTCATTTAACAAAATGTTTTCTGGTTTCAGGTCCCTGTGAAAGCATATTTTTTATATTTGACATAAATATTTAAAACAGCAACATTACATATCTAAATTTTGTGGAAAACAAAATGAACTGGTTAATACTTATAATCTTTACAGACTAACAATCAAAAAATGTAAGTCTAAAGTTCACACTAAACAAATATTAATTGCATACAATGAAAACATTCAAATTACATCCTTTCTATTACTTTTAATAAACTTTTTATTGAAGTATAATCTATCGTTTTTTAACCCATAAAATAGCTTTTAAACCTATTGTTGTAATCATTTCACAATATACGTAAATCAAACCATCATGCTGTACAACTTAATTTATGCAGTGATGTATGTCAATTTTTAAAAATCAGTAAAAAAAGCTCTGACCAGGTAGCTCAGTTGGTTAGAGCTTCGTCCCGATATGCTAAAGGCTGTGGGTGTGATCCCTGGTCAGAGCACATACAAGAAGCAACCAATGAATGCATAAATAAGTGGAACAACAAATTGATGTTTCTCTCTTTCTCCCTTCCTCTCTCTCTAAAATAAAATAAAATAAAATAAAATAAAATAAAATAAAATAAATAAATTTTAAAGTCATGAAAACAAGACCAGAAAAAAGTACACACAAAAGCCACAAGTGACAAAATAAAAGCAGCAGTCAAGATAGGTAAGAAAACTGTTAGCCTGGCAAAAAAAGACATGAATGATTTCACTTTACAGTTGAAGGTCTGTGAGGCTCTCAATGTCAGGGTGATGTGAACTCTTCTTAGTTCTCACATGAGGCATCCCACCCTCCATTAAATACCAGAGCTGCCCCTGACCTTGTGAGCAGAGCCCCAATCCTCAGCTTGGTACCTGTGAATGATGCCCCTGCCATGCAAGTACTCTAGAGCAGACACCATCTCAGCTGTGTAAAATCGGGTGCACGTCTCATCGAATGAACCAATTTTGCGAATATATTTAAGTAGTTCTCCATTTTTGGCATAACTAAGGCCAAAATCTAAATATTACATAGTTAAGGAAGAATGCAAAAGTCATTTTTAAAAAACTAACCTTAACAACCCCATAGGAATTCTTTTAAATTAATGAAAACTGAAGGTACCTGTGGCCCAAGACTGCTGCCCCTCTTCGAGTCAGACTCTGTCATGGTCAGACCCATGGCCGATGGGAATCCCAGACCCCAGCTCCAGAGCGAGGCCCCAGAAGGCACATGTGGCCCCAGTGAAGGGAAGCTGCTAGAGGTGGCAGTCAAATGCCTCTTTGCAGGCTTCAGTCGAGGCGTGTATATGGGGGGG